GGAACTATTTGACTATGTTTCCATTGATGAAAAAGATCCAGGACCAATATATTTCTTGTAAAAATTACCTTACAACAGTAGTCCATGGGATGTACATTTTATAGAAGCTTCTTTCACTCTGGTATTCAATGCACATGAAAAATAATATATTTGGCAAGTAACAAGAGTATTCCAAATAGTTTAACGTCTCAATTACTTCATCACATGTGATCTGAATATATTTGTGGGCTAGTACTTCATTTGTTTTCTCTCTTGTAAGTTCATTGTATAGTCCTGATGTTAGTGTAGTAGGGGGTCAAAGTGTCCTTATTCCTGTTTTTTTATTCCATTCTTCTAAATAAAGAATTAGAGGTTCCTTTCACCCACTTTGTTGTTTGTTATTGAGTACCTTAATATGTGTATATGTGAGCAATTGTGAGTGTTTATTAATATTGTGGACTCAAATCTGTCATCATTCATACTGTATTCTCTCCATTGATTTTTAAAATTTTACTGTTCTTTTTTTTCTTGCCTAAAGTTTTACTATGTTTCCTTTCCCCCCAATTGATCCCACAATTTTACTTTTCTTAATGAAAAAAATGCAGCACTTACTTTTATAATTTTCACATTTGCATTATTTCTTTCAGCAAAAAGGAAAATGAATGTTCTTCTCTGTATGTAGTGCTAATAAACAACCCTACAAGCAATGCCAACTTGTTTCACATCTCCATCTTTTCCTTTTTGTTGTTTTTGGTCTTTTATTGTTAGCTCTATTTTCAAAACAGGCATCATCTTCTACCATCCTCTGCAAGGTATTCTCTTTTGTATTTACTAAAGATTAACTTTACCTCATTAGCATATTTGAATCCAATATCTCTAAATAAGAAGAAACTATAACAGATACTGCTTTCTCCCAAATTTAAATCCATTCTAGCCTGGTTAGCATGGCTCAATGGTTGAACCAGGCCATGGTTTGATTCCTGGTTAGGGTCTATTGCAGGCTTGGACCCCATTGGTAGGTCTGCATGAGGCAGCCAGTCAATGACTATCTCTCATCATTGACGCTTCTATTTCTCTCTCCCTCTTCTTTCTCCTCTGAAATAAATTTTTTTAAAAATATTTTTTAAAAAGCCATCCTATAATATTCTTTTATTTCAAAGTTATTGGAAATTTAATTTGGAATTAGTGGCCATGTAGGTATTATTAAGTTATTATTATTAACTATCTTTATATAGATTAATTTGATTCTCACTAAATTTTGTTTCATGCAGTTCTTTTGTAATTACTATACTTAACCCAATTTCATTCCTTTGATAATCTGTGTTCCATAAATTCTTAGTTTTAAAAAACTTCTCTTCTGCGTTATGCATACATATACACTCCTATGCATTTGTACAAATGCATAAGTAGCATCCTAAGCCCATCAGAAATCCTCTTTATGTGTTGTACACTCTTTTTCCTATGTGCCCACTATCCCTTATTACTCAACAATACGTTATAACCTTTTCTCTAGTCAACTAATGTGATGCCAACTCATTATTACTACGTGCACATAATATTTTATGAAATGGGTGTTATGCACAGTTGAAAGCCTTCCATAAGCAGCACTTTCTCAATACCCTGCTAGTATCACAATTATACAAAATATTCTGAGGTTGTTACATTAAAATTTTGGTTCTCCACCAGTGGCAGTATTATTCCCTCAAGGGATAGTCAGCAGTGTTCAGAGACATTTCTGTCTGTCACAAGGAAAGTGTAGGTAGAGTCCAGGGATGCACAGGAGAGACCACACCACAGGCAATGATCTGGCCCAGAATGTCAATAGTGCTGAGATTAAGAAACAATGACTTAAAGAATATATGTACTTGTAATATTTATAGCTGTTTTCAGATTGGTTTCCCAATGTTGTAATATTTTACAGTTCTGCCAGAAAAGAAAACAGAGTACCCCTTTGCTACCTGTTTACTGGTACAAGTTCCAATCCCAGTCAATGGGACACCTTTTTAAGTTTTCCCCAGGCTGAGAGATGTAAATTTTTAATTTTTTTCTGAACTTTTCCTGTGTTTGATCAAAAATTCATATATTTGATGATCTCATTAATTTGAATATAATGCCTATTATTTTTTCATGATCAGTCTTTTAAATGATTTCTAAACATTATTATGGGGATGAATGTAGAGGAGATAAACAATAATAGGAGGAAACTTGACTAGAAATGATGAACACATACACATTTGATATATTATAGAAATGTACACCTGGATACTATGTAATTTTGTTAACCAGTGACACCCCAATAAATTCTATGGAATTTAAAATAAAAAATTAAATATAAATTATTATTTCTCAATTCACTTTGGGGGATATTATGGTCATAAAAATTTTTTACTTTTTATTTAGTTAAATATATCTGTCTCATTGCTTCTAAGCCTCCTGACTTAATTACAATGGTTTCACCTACCCACATGTATTAATGTGTAGTTTTCTATCATTTCACCTTAACTGGTTACACTTAACAGTGAGTAGGCAATCCCTCTGGTTTTTTATGATGTGACTGATACAGGAGAACAACTTCATTTTCTGCTAGGTTGATATTTTTCCATTTTTTATTCAACAATTCAATGTTTCCAAATACTGATATGCATCCTTAACATGTACTTATAAATTGGACTTAATTTTTAATTCACTCAACAAATAACCATGGAACATGTGCTCTTTGTCACAATTTCTAGAAACATTATAGATTACCTTCTATGTCTGTGCCACTGCCAATTTGACTACTAATTCATGTTGGTAACCCTAACTTATTGGTATTTATTACATCTTGTTTTGGTTAGGTTTTGATGCTCCACTCAGTTTTCTTTAATACAGTTGCTTGCAATTCACTCTGTTTAACTAGGGTTCATTCTCTCTGACATGCCTTTCATTTTATAACTTCACTTTCACTGAAATGTGTTCCTACATAGGTGCACATACATATAGTCACAAACATTTGAGAAAATACAAAGGTGAACAAAACAGGTAAAGAAGCCCTGCTTGTCTGAATCTGGCACTGTATGGTGAAGACAGAGAGCAATGAAATAAATGTTTGCATGACAATGTGCTCAGGCGTAAATCAGATGAAGAAAGTTACCCAGTGTAGTAGGATGGGTCGTCATGGCATGTGCAGGTCTTATTGATCACGTCCTGGGAGACCTTTGCATGTTGGATGAAGACCACAACCAGAATTAGACTATGCAAAATTGATTTGTAAAAACATGAGTTCAAAACCCCAAGTCCAAGAAAAGCAGAAATGCCGCATAAGAAAAGTAGAAAGGGCTTCTCTCATCTATCATCAGCCATATAAAAACTTATTGGTCAAATAAATATAGAAGAGGCATAGGAAAAACCAGTCTTCTATTGCTTGGCATTAAAATTATCCAATTGGTGTTGATTTTATACATTTCCTTATGGGAGTTATTGGTTAATTTTTTTTTTTTGGTCAGTTTTCACTTGGGGTAATTAATCTTATATCTATAAATATATTGTATTTTATTATTTTTTTATTTAGCTGTTTATTTTAAAAGTATTACATAGGTCTCCTGTTTCTCCCATTGACTTCTCCCTGGTCATATCCCTTCCACCTCCCCAACACATACCCTTACCCCCCTTCTCTCTGTGTCCATGGTATCTACCTTTGTATTTTAGTCAAGTTAAATTTTCTCCTTCGTTAGTTTTGCTTGGTTTTTACAGGTTTGTAATTAGGGTTGGAAATATTCTAGAATTCAAAGAAGATTTTTCTTACTCATTGTCTCTTAGGGACCACCTGAGCTAATTAAATCTCTCTTCTTCCTAATACCCATTTTATTGCTCTCTCTCCCTCTATGTTCATTTAAACTATTGTTTATATTTCTTTAACTATAGGTCAGAAAATATGCGTAGTAATATAAATCCCAAAGTTTATTTGCCCATTGAAGGCTTACTACAAGAATATCTAAATAGTATTCCTAAATTATATTTGGAAAAGCTACTTGATCTGGATACCTGGACTTGTATCTGCTTATAGACTACATAGTGTGGGAGAGAGAAGAATATGGAAATAACACAGATGAAGAGTCCATGGTGTTCTGTGTTGTGTGTGTGTGTGTGTGTGTGTGTGTGTGTGTGTGTGTGCCTTGTAAACTGAGAGCAGTCCTCAGAGCACGGGTGCCTGGACTGATATATTCAAAGGTGACTCTCTTATCAGGAGGAGAAACTAAGGATGAGATTCTTTTCTATTCACAAGATTAATAAAGTGGGAGATTTACATAGTATGTACAAGGAATGCTCCATGACTTGAAGTTACCAGAGAAAAACACAAGCCACCTTGTTTCTTAATATCCTCTACACCACCTCTGATCCTGCTATGTCATGCTCATTCCCTTTGACACTTTGGCTCATTTTGAGCCCTGATTTTCTAAACAATCTGCTTCCTCAGGGCCTTTGCACTGGCTGTACCTTCTGCCTGGCAAACACTTCCCCCTCAGTCGCCCATTTAGTCTTCCATGAGGTACCTGCTAAGTGTCCTCTGTTGGCCTGTCCTGGCTAAACACTATAAAAGAGAGCACCCGTATCCACTTTCTCCACTTAATGTGATTTGCTTTTTGTTTTTGCAGCTGTACCATTTGATCTCTTTTATTATTTTTTAATTTGATAGTATTTTTCCCATCATTAGTTTATAGAGACTATTTTTCAGCATCTCATACTCTGAACAGTGCCCAGAACATGGTTTATAGTCAATCTATATTTCACAAATGCATGAGAGATATCCGCAGTAAAACAGCAATATACATTATGTTTGAAGAACAGGTTGGTGTAAAAAGAAATTCTAATGTCAAATGACAATGGAGATACCATAATGAGGATCAAATCACAACAACAAGAAGGAAATAATTTTCCTGATTCTAAAACATAAATATATCATTGATTCTCAGGGACAAATGCTTACTAATGTGACATTTAGTTATAAATTTATTCTATTTTCTGACAGACACCTCTGACACATGGAACCAGGCAATGATACCCAAATTTCAGAATTCCTTCTTCTGGGACTTTCACAGGCACTGGAACTGCAGCCCCTCATATTTGGGCTTTTCCTCTCCATGTACCTGATCACTGTGTTGGGAAACCTGCTCCTCATCCTGGCCGTCAGTTCAGACTCCCACCTCCACATCCCCATGTACTTCTTCCTCTCCAACCTGTCCTTGGTAGATATCTGTTTCATCTCCACCACCATCCCAAAGATGCTGTGGAACATTCAGACACAGAACAAAGCCATCACCTATGAAGGCTGCATCACACAGATGTATTTTTTCTTACTCTTTGGAGGTTGGGACATCTTCCTTCTAACTGTAATGGCCTATGACAGGTATGTGGCCATCTGCCACCCCCTGCACTACATAGTCATCATGAACCCCCGGCTCTGTGGACTGCTAGTTCTGGTGTCTTGGATCCTGAGTGTCTTGAATTCCTTGTTAGAAAGCTTAATGGTGTTGGGTCTGCGCTTCTGCTCAGACTTGGAAATACACCACTTTTTCTGTGAATTCAATCAGGTTCTCCAACTTGCCTGTTCTGACACCTTTCTTAACAACATTATACTGTATTTTTCAGCTGGGCTTCTATGTGGTGGTCCCCTTGCTGGGATCCTTTACTCTTACTCCAAGATAATTTCCTCCATACATGCAATTCCATCAGCTCAGGGGAAGTATAAAGCATTTTCTACCTGTGCATCTCACCTCTCAGTTGTCTCCTTATTTTATGGTACAGTCCTAGGTGTTTACCTCAGCTCTGATGTTTTCCACAGCTCACACTCAAGTGCAATAGCCTCGGTGATGTACACGGTGGTCACACCCATGCTGAATCCCTTCATCTACAGTCTGAGGAACAAGGACATAAAAAGGGCTCTGCAAAGATTTCTTGGCAGGGAAGCTCTTCAAGGGCCATCTGTACTAGGCTGAAGAATTGCCTGGGAAGGCAGAGTGCAAATCCTCACAGCCAGAAGTTCTGACACAAATAAAGCCAATTATTGGACTAATGTAATTGGAAATTCTCAGTTATCTCACAGATTAACACGAATTACTTTAGTGTCATTTATTATATTATGCTGTTTTTAATACTAAGTAATTTTTCTATTGTTTTACTGAAAGAATTGCCATGAATTATCCTACCTTTATGAACAAAGTTATACTTGAATATTAAGGTCATTTGCATAATTTTATTGTAGAGGAAAATCTGAGACCAAAGTTTTCACTTTTTTGTTCATCATTACTTTCTAGAACACTACCTTTATTGCTCTTCTTGATAATATAGACTTCAACGCGCTAGTATGTTTTATAGTTGGTCTCCTGGCTATATATTTTCATTCTATTATTGAGCTGTATGTACACATACCTACCATAGCCACTGTCAAAAAATGACTATTAGGCACATGTTTCCAAGAAGAATCTACAAGGAAATATGCCTTTTAATAGATTGATCTAATATGGTTAGAGTTAGAGATGACCTTAAATGTAATAAAGCAATAATAGCTATACAATTTCTTACTATACAAGAATGTTTTTTCTTGGCACTTGTGTACTTAAAGTGTGGAATATGCTGCCATGTGTAAGGGTTCTTATTCATTGGGATGAAAGATTATGTGGTGTATTTTATGATTTTTCCTGAACTATTTCATTGCTTTTGCTTTAAAACTGTATTTTTATACACTTTTTTAAAAGTGAGAGGGAGAGAGAGAGATAGATAGAGATAGATAGATAGATAGATAGATAGATAGATAGATAGATAGAGACATTCATATTAGAGAGGAATATTGATCAGTTGTCTCCCATACACATTCCAACTTAGTTTCAAACCCACAGCCTGGAAATGTGCCCTGACTGAAAATAGAACCAGCAACCTTTCTGTGCATGGGATGATGCTCAACCAACTGAGCCATATAAGACAAGGCTCATTGAAAGCACTGTGTTCCCTACTAATGTGACTCTTTCTTGTGTTCTAAATTCACAGTGTGTAGGGAGTGGCTATAGGATTAAGTCTTGGACTGACCTGCTCGCAAAGCCACAAAAAAGTCCCAGTTTAGAGGGCACATCCCTCTTATCATAATTAAGCTTGACATTATGACACCCCTTAGATCCTATCTGGGTAGCTAATGGGCTGTATGAGGTGCAGCAAGTGCTGTCAAAAGAAGTGAGACTCACAAGAACATTGTAACTATGGTGACCACTACCTTGTTTCCCTTTGACTATAAAATAAAGTCCCAGCTTGCCATCTGGATCTGTTCTGTGGATTTAGCCAGGCACAGAAGATCCACCTAGACACAGCTTATTCTCTTTGTCTGTCTTTTCTCCATCCTTTGTCACCCTCCCTTAGCCTCACCGAACCCTTGGCTGTGCTGGTGTGGCACAAGTGGCACCCAATGCAGGGCTGAGTTCAACCAAGGGGCACCAAATGTGGGCCTGAGTGTGAGGAACTGCAATTGTCAGGTAAAAGGATGCTCCAGTGAAGCACATGCAGAAAGCAAAAAGGAAGGTAAGGAGTGCAGTTTAGTATCATAATAGCTAGGTGTAAAACATGGGAAATTCAGGATTGTAGGAAAAGAATTTATATGTATCCATGCTTAAGGCTATTCTCCAAGCAAGGGGCTGTTCTGTGAGGTATGAACAGCTTTTCGGTTTGTTGGATTTTGTGAGTAAAACCTGCCCATGATTTTCTGAGGAAGGAAAGGTAAATATAGAGGCATGGGAGAAGGTAGGAAAACAATTTTGAGTTCATTATATAGCTGAAAGTCCAGAGGAAATGACTGCCTCTACTTTTGGTCTGTGGTCCCCGATTTGAGACTGCCTAGAGCTCACTCCAGAAAGGGAGTAGATGAATGTGGCAGGGGAATCAAAACAGATGGAGAAAGGTTTCCAGAGGCTTCCAACTTCACCATCGGTGCCTCCATTGCCTCCTCCAGTCCTTAGGGCTACAGCTCCTGTGACAGAGTCCTCCAGATGTGTGCTTCCTCCCAAATATGAGTGAGGACTGGAGGAAGAAAGGAAACAGCACCTGTTGGTTTGGGATACTGGGGGTGGAGATATGCTCAAGTATTGCCTCACAGCATGATCAATAGTCCTACCTATGTCAGAATTTTGTGGCTGCAGCCATACATCCTATTAGGAAAAAAAAATATTCCGAGGCTTATATTATTCATTATATGGATAACATTCTCTTAGCTCATAAAAATGAAACACATCTAAATAATATCTATATAGATTTACAAGATTCTCTGCATTGTGTTGGATTATGCATAGCACCTGAAGAAGTTCAAAGGACATTTCCTTTTTCTTACCTTGGCAGCATAATTGAGGGGGGAAAAATAAAAACAGAAAATTCAAATTTGGATGACACTTTACTTACATTAAATGACTTCCAAAAATTATTAGGAGATATTAACTGGGTTTGACCTGCTTTAAAATTAACCACTGCTGACTTAAGCCCTTTATTTCATATAGTGCGGGGAGATTCATCTCCGTCATCCCCACGCTCCTTGACAGAGGAAGCCAAGACATCCTTACATAAAGTTGATGATGCTCTAAGTTCAGCACGACTTACTGTAAGAATCTCTTTCACGGCCCGCGTGGAAAGAGTTCCAATTCAGGGTTCGGGTTCAGGAGAAGGGCCGCACACAAATGAAGAAGAGACTTAAGACTTGAAGAAATTCAACTTGGTGATATGGGGAGCCAGGCGGTAAGTTCAACTCTAGTGGGAGAACTACTCAATGCTCTGGCCCTGCCTCCCCTTTTATTGAGGATTTGAGGAAAACATCTTAGGCAACTTAAACAGAAATTTACATGTAGCGCTTAGGCAGGAAATAACAGAAACTTATGTGGAACAAACAAGGTGGAGGCTGCTTCAGCTAACAATGTCTCAACTAAAGGTTTTCCAGCAACTTACTAGAATTGATTACTCCCTTCCTTTACAGGTTTTAATTTTCCCTACAACACATACACCCACTGGGGTCATTTGGCAAACTCCTGGAGTTGTTTGGCTTATTCTCCAACTAAGGTATTAACTCATTTCCATGATTTGGTTTCCCAGCTAGTAGCTTGAGCCCACCTTCGAACAGCCAATTAGTGGGCTGAGATTTTGACCTTATTGTGGTGCCATTTATAGCTATTCAGCAAGGCTGGCTCTGGCAACAATCAACGAATTGGCAAGTTGCACTTGCTAATTTCTCCAAACAGTTTGGTAACCATAATCCAGCAAATAAGGTTTTACAATTTCTCTTAGTTACAACTTTTACCTTCCCAAAGATAATGAAGTCACAACCTATACCACAGGCATTAACAATTTTTACAGATGGATCCAGTTCTGGAAAAGCTGGATCCCACTGCAACAGAGGTGCAAAGTTCCTTCAAACCCATTATATTTCAGCACAATGGGTAGAAATACAAGCTCTTATCTATGCCTTGACAGATTTTGCTACGGGAGCCCATTAACCTATATATAGTGATAGTGCTTATGTGGTAAGTATGGCTACTTGATTGAAGTATGGCTACTTAATTGAAACAGCTACTATAGGACACACTAATTTGGAGGAACTCTTTCATTTATTTTTCAACCTTCAGAAAGTTACTAGAGAATGACAGTTTCCCTGCTTTTTTGATCATATCCGATCTCATTCAGGTCTCCATGGTCGGTTAGCTATAGGCAATGATGCTATTGATCGATGCAAGGAGGTTACCCCATTTTCTCTTGCCCAGTCCTCCCATGCTTTGCATCATCAAAATGCTGCTGCCTTACACAAACAATTCCATATTTCTCAGGAGCAAGCTTGTCAAATTGTTAAGCAGTGCCTTCAGTGTGTAATTTATTGTCCTGTGCAGTCATTGGGGGTTAATCCTAGGGGTCTTAAACCTAATCACCCTTTTAAGATTTTTAGGCTTTTCTTTTGTGTCAGAACAAAATGGGTTGCTTTTTAGAGATCCCTTCTGTTAGCAGCTCTGAGGACCCCTTCCACATTCACGGATCACACCAGCCTCAACACCCACTTACTAGTATATGTACACAAACACAGATTCATTTATTATATAATCACATATTTTATGTTGAAAGAAAACTTAAGAGATGTTTGAAGAGGAAAAATGAAAATAATGAATTTTTGAATTAACATAAACTTCAAAGATGTAGAAATTTAGACAAGAAGATTTAAAGTCAATGGTAGACATCAACTTAAATGATGAATTACATTTCCTATGTGAATGCCTCAAAGGCATCAAAAATGGGAACACATGTACATTTGTGCAATAAGAAATTCTCCACCTGCTAAAGAGGCTGAATATCTCCGAACTCATTAATTAATTAATTTTTTTTTTTACTAAGTGGGAATTACAACTCAAAATGACTTTACCCAGGGGAGGCTAAATGAATAAATTGAGACACTTGATCTCAGTTTCCTGAAGAAAATTTTATTGGATAAATGTGTTTGCACTTTTTAATACTAGTATAACATTACCATTTAAGAGATTTGCAACAAATACATTCTTGCTCTGAAACAGGAAAGGATCCCTGGGGAGGCTAATATCAAGATGTTTGCAGGGCTGGGATTCTCCTGGGAGCTACAGGGAAGTCTACTTACTTTCCTATGCCAAGCTTAGATTAGAGTGTAAAATAATCTAAATATGTTTCTTATAACTTACAAATATTTCACAGTGGGGGACTAAATGACAGCTCAACTTGTGATGTAAGTTGAAATGCCAAATTCTTGTGGCTAATATGTCATGAAGCTCATTGTGTAACACTCAAAGTTTATATCAAAGAAACTTATTTCTACCCCTTGTTGAAAAGAAAAATAGTAATTATCTGTAGACATTAGGGGCTATGTTCCTACCACAAGTCGATATTTGGAGACTCAAGTTTTCTAATCCATACTATATCCTCAGCCTTAAATTTGGAAAAATTTTAAATCAGGA